AAAAATTGTCTCTCTGATTGCAAATCTGAGGCTGCCGTCGTTGAATTTCAGAGGCAATTTTTTGGATGTTAATGTGTATGTGCGTTTGCGTATCTCAAAGATACAAATACACATACATCATTGACCTCTAAATTATTGTCTTTCTGTGGTCCGATTATGATGAGGAACAGAGTTCCATCTGGTAAGATTTCGTAACCCTTGGGATCTCAGAAAAATCTGGTTATGTTGGCAGTTTTCTATATAAACCTTCGTGGTTATTTCAATTCTTGTCATTAAGTTGATCTCCCAACGTAGGATAACAAAATCCAAGAAATAAATTGATAAAAAAATTCCTATTAAGACGACGGTTTAAATATAAGGTATGCTGTATAAAGTGAATAAATACGACGGTAATTTTAAGTTCACGACGTAGCTTTTGGGATATTAGAAAAATATGATTCTGTCGGCGGTTTTCTATATAAACCGTCATGGTTATTTACAATTTTTGTCATTAAGTTGGTCTACCGTTGTAGGATAACAAAATCCAATAAATAAATAGTAAAAAATAATATTATTAAGATGACGGTTTAGATATCAGGGTAGACATATAAAGTGCATAAATATGACGGTAAATTTTATAATACGTCATTAAATGAAAATCCCAACTTGGTGAGAGTTAAAGATGTCGTCGTAAAACTATACAAGAAAGACGTCGATAAATTTATCTTTGCTGTCGTTGTACATTAATTTAATACGGCAGTATTTTGTATTATACCGACGTGGGTTTATTTGTAATTATATGACGCCTTTTTCGAAAACTTGGTCGTGTTAATTTCTGAGTAAAAACGGCGGCTTTTTTTTACACCGTCGTCTTTACTTTCTACGTCAGTCTATTATACCTTCTGCCGTTCTTTGTTGGCTTAGATTTTACTCTGCGAAAATCCTTTTTCAATAAGACGTCGTTTTTTTAATTAGGTGTGTCGTTTTTTAGAAACAACCATTGGAATCTCCATTTTTTAGGTGTTTAAGTTGTTCTTAGACGGCGGTTTTATAGAACCGTCGTCTTTTAAAAAACAACGACGGTTTTCCCTTAAACCGTTGTTTTTTTTTGTCGTCTTTGTCACTTTTTGTAGTAGTGTCTGTAATAGTTTTTAATGTTGTTCTCTTTGATTTGTAGATAAATCACAAATATGCAAAATTACGTAGAAAGGGTATTAGTCCTGATATGGAAGAGAAGTTTGATAGAATGTTCATGAACACCACTGTCACTGGTGACCATGCTTGGGCACCTTCATCTGGTGTACTTCCAACTCATGATTCCTCCGAATGTGGTGGTATTCTACTCGACAGTGGTGATGATTCTGATGATCCCGTATACGTACCAGATGAAACAATTCAAGTTACTGAAAAATCTTGTGGGAAGGGGAAAAATAGAACAAATCAACAACTTGGTACACATGTTAAGAAAGAGAAGAACGGAAATAGAGTTGCTACAAAAGTGGGGAAGGTAAGAGGTGCTGTTAAATTGTCACAACAAATTGAGCGGATAGCTGATGTAATGGAGAATAAGAGTACGACTTCAGTGATGATGAAAGGGTCCCAAGGTAGCATAATTGCTGAAGTGATGAAAGAAGTCTCGTCTTTACCTGGTGCAGGGCCTGGGAGCCATTTGTGGTTGTTTGCAACTCGGTTATTCCTAAATCAAGAGAAAAGAGAAATGTTCACAACTATGGAAGATCCTAACATCAAGCTTCAATGGCTAAACTATGAGCTTTCTGAAAAATAAGCTAACTGCACTTTTATTATGATCAAGCTTCAATGTCTAATATTTCTTAGAACTTTGTTTTGCTACTTGGATTTATTTTTTAGGTGTCGTATTTGCGTTTGCTATTTGAATTTGTTATTTAGATGGTTAGTTATATGTGACTGTTATTTGGATGGTTGTTTTTATTGAAAATTCATATGACATTTATTTATATCAATGCATATGTCTATAACACTGTAGGTTTATTGCAAGATATGGAAATTTCAGAAGATGAAAGGGAGTTCAACCAAATTGTATGTGTCTGTATTCGTACTATGAAATATTATTATGAGAAGTATATTCATAAAAGTCCTTGTATGGATTCTTTTCAAACAGGAAATAAGTGGGTGATGGAAATGTTACAGGGGAATGAAAAATGTTGTTATAGAATGTTTAGAATGGATAAATGTGTATTTTTGCAATTATGCACTGACTTGGAAAATAATTATGGGTTGAGAGGTTCTAGGAGAATGTGTGATGCTGAGATGTTGGGAATGTTTGTGCACATTCTAGGACATGGTATAGGGAATAGGCTAGCACAAGAACAATTTCAACATTCTAGTGAAATTGTGAGTAGATACTTTGGTAAATTACTTGATATTGTATGCCTTATGGCCGTTGATATCATAAAACCATTGGATCCTGAGTTTAAGGGAGTCCCGGAAGAGATATTGAGAGATTCAAGATATATGCCCCATTTTTAGGTAAAAATTAGATACAACAATTTATCATTTGTTTTAGGAACAAAGTAATATTTATTGAAATGTTTCTCTTATTGTTTGCAGGATTGCATTGGTGCTATAGATGGCGTACATGTTAAAGCCTTAATACCTTGAAGATCAAGTACCATATATTGGCAGGAAAGGAATACCAACTCAACCATAATGACTGCATGTTGGGAAGGCACTGCACACGATACAAGAGTATTTTTATCAACGTTACGAAATAATGCTTTAAATTTTCCCAAACCTCCAAATGGTAATGTTTCAAATATGTGCATATCATTAAACTTCAAATTTTTGCACTTTCAAATCATATTATAATTAAACATATCTTATTGGTTACAGGTAAATATTATCTTGTGGAAGCGGGTTATCCACAAATGAGCGGGTATTTGGGACCATATAAAGGTGAAAGGTATCATCTTCCAGATTTCCGTAGGGGTACTCAACCAACAGGTTCTAGAGAAGTATTTAATCACCTACACTCTTCCCTTAGGAGTGTCATTGAACGCACTTTTGGTGTATGGAAGAAAAAGTGAAGTATTTTACGAGACATGCTTAGCTATCCATTCGATAAGCAAGTGAAGATAGTAATTGCAACTATGACACTTCACAACTATATAAGGAGGCATGCCCAACGTGATATTCATTTTGACAAAGTGAATGACAACCCAAATGGAACAGAGATGGAGGGTGATGCACAAGAAGAATATCATATTACTCAAGGGCCTGGAGCACAAGAACTAGAAACATTAAGGAACAAGATTGATGCAAGTTTAATGCATGCATCTTCTTAGGCATTTTCTTTATTTCCATTTATTTAAGCCTAGTTTCAAAAAAAAATTATTGCTACAATTCAAACCTTAAAAAAATGTTTATTACTTATTCAATATCAAGGATGGTGTATGAACATACTACTGTGGTGATCTCTTTATCTTTGTTGGAATTTATTCAATAAATAATTATCTTTGTTGGAGTTTATTCAATTTGAAATTTTCTTTTCTTCAAGCAAAGATTAATATAACTTTTAGGGAGAAAAGTATAAAAGCACTTTACAGTTTTATTTTTTACCAAACAGATTAGTAAAAAGCACTTTCATCATCATGTCCATTTTAGTCATTATAAATAGTCACAGCACTTTTACGATAAAATTTACCAAACACTCTGACACTGCTTTTCATACTCACAACACTTTTAAAATTACAGTTTACCAAACGTTTAACTGTTTTATTTTACAGCTGATTCTTTTTAAAGCACAGTTGAAGCAACTTTTTTTTTTAAAGCGGCAGCAATCCCAAACTAAGCCTAAGTAGGCGAAATGAAAGTCCAGTAGAAAGTGTCTTCCACTCGAAACTAAGTTTAAGGTCTTAGAAGTCTAAAGATGATGAAAAAAACTAGATAAGTAGAAAATGAACCCAACAATAACTGGGAAAATAAAAGAGAAATTGCAGAGAGGAAAGACTATCCTCTGTGTCGAGTATGCAAAAAGACAAGCCACCAAGAGAAAGATTGTTGGTACCGAGGCATACCAAAATGCTGGAATTGCAAAAGATTTGGGAATATAGAAAAAGATTGTCGATTCAAAAAAAAACTATCAAGCTAACTACACAGAAGAAAATGATAAGTACAAGCATGTGTTCTATTATATGCATGTCCAGCACCATCAGAAAAAGACAACACAAATTGGTATATCAATAGCAGTGGTAATGACTGGAAGACAGAGACTGCAGCTCAATTATCAGCAGAAGCAAAAAATATGGCATCAACAAGATCAGAATATCTAGCAATATAGCTCCAAGTGTGCATTAAGGAGGAGTGTTAAATTTAATACATGCTTGAAGAATTTAGAAATATCTAGAAAAAAGTAGAAAACTCTAGAAAAGTCATAATAAAAATCTTGTAATAAGGTAATATTATATTGTAAAGTAGTGGCTATGAGAAAAAGCCAAGTCCACCGACTTGGACAATGGCAACAGCCTTAGGGGTCGTTTGGTACGGGAGACTGTCATGGACTGGATTGAGTATTGGTACTGTCTTGGATTGGCTTGTCCTGGCATAAACTGAATAACATTTGTACCACGTTTGGTGTATGTTTGATTGGACTAGGACTATTTTTTTTTTCTTGTGAAAAGTTAGATTTTTTTATATTTTTTTTACTTTTCTTCTCTCTCCATCTCTTTCTTCCTCTCTGCATCTCGTTTTTTAATTTTTGGACGAACCTCTCTGCGTCTCTTTCTTTTTCTTCCCCTCTGCATCTCTTTTATCTTCCTCTTCTCCATTTTCTCTCCTCTACTTTTGTCTACTTTTCTTTTCTTTTCAAAAAATTTCTCCCATCTTCTCTGTTTTATTCTAAAATTTTCTCTCCTCTTCTTCTCCATTTTCTTTCCTCTTCTCCTCCATTTTCTTTCTTCTTCTCTATTTTTTTTCGAAAAATTTCTCTCATCTCTTCTTCTCCATTTTCTCTCCTCTTCTCTGTTTTGTTTTTAGAAAATTTTATGTTCTCTCCTCTTCCTCTTCTATTCTGTCGTCTCCTTCTTGGGTGGCTGTGGCTGGTGGCTGTGGCTGGTGGTCGTCTCTGGTGGTCGTGGTGGGTGGTTGTATATGGTGGTTAGGGATAGTGGTTGTGGCTGCTGCTTGGTCGGTCGTTGGTTGTGGGCGATTGGGTGTGGTTGCTAGTTGCTTGGGTTGTCGGGACTGTTAATCCCTCTTCTCCAGACGGGTTTAGCTAAGAACACCTAAGGAGGTGTTTTTGGTGGGCCCAGTATTAGTTAATCCCATTTAAAATTAGAACAGGGTGAAACAAACATGGGATAAAACTTTAGCCAGTCCAGTCCAAGCCAATCCCTTGTACCAAACGAGCCCTTAGTGTATAAATAGGTGCTGTCTCTTGTACAAGTGAGCTAAGAGAGAGAAGAAGCTGTTGTGAAATTATTGCAAGGGCACAATTCATACAAGTAATATAGAAATAAGTAGAGTGTCATTATCACGAAAACTGTAATTTCCTATTAACTACCAATTATGATTCATTCAGAAGTTTATTTGAACAGTTGATTATAAGAAGATTGATTGATTTAATTAAACTAAAACAATTATGAAAAATAGCAATTTAATTAATGATGAAGAATCAAGTTGATGAAACACTAGAGCATCTGTTTCACCATAACCAATTTCACTTAATTCTTATAGCCAATTAACCCTAATTACTATCCATGTTGACAGTTGGTTTCTCCTAATTCATTCGATATCCCCTCTCGGGCTCAACCAAAAATACTCTTAATTAACAACCCATTCTCTCTCGAGCAACGGATTTAGAAAATCAAGAACCCATTAAGTTCTATGAGAACCTGTAAGAAAACTAAATGAGTCATGTTAGTCCCTCTCGGGCACTCATTCAAGACATGGTATTTGTTACGAGAAGCAAACACCAAACATCTCCTCTCGGTCTCTGCTTGGATCATCAAATCAATTAAATATTGGCTAGATATTCAAAGCATTAAGAACAGTAACAAATACTCAACATGGATTAGTAATCAGAAATTAATATAACTCTAAAAATTAAGTATTCATGTTTAAGCTACATCATAGCCCTAGTAAGGAAAATTAGTTCATGACAAAAGAAAAGATAAACAAGAGAATTGCTGTCATAAAATCGATTTGGCCGATGGATTTGATCTCTGGATTCTCCACAGCAACCACTTTGTAAGCTCCAAAAGCACCGCAGCAGCAACTCTTGGCTTTCTCTTTCATATATTTGTGGGTGTAGTGAAATATGGTGAAAAGTCTATGGTAGAAAAGATGACGGTCTCAAGAGATCCTCTATAGAGAGAGTTTAGGGTGACCTTATATAGTGTAAAACAACTAAACCCTACTCTTAAAAGGTCTGGAAAAACTCTCCTAAAGCAAAACAAAATCTCAAACAATTAAGGAAACAAACTAGGAAATAATCCTTCTTTGACTTGGAAACACGTCAGCCAATTTGCACGCATGTTTTGGGGTTATTTCACTTCCTATAAAATTCTGGAAAAATATGAGAAACGTAGTATTATCTCTAAGCTTTCCAAGCATATATTACAAGCCACTAGGAAACATCAGAAAGGTCTTCAAATCTTCAATCTTCCACAGCAGTGCAGTTCTGACGGGATTTCAGCTCAGGCTGTCTTGACATGCAAGTCTGGAGCATTTGGCTTGGTAGAAAATTTTGAAACTTTAACACAATGATCTTCAATGTCTTTTCTTTCTTCTCCAATTGGCCTTGCGCTAAATTCATTCGAAAAGTCGATTTTTAGTTGAAATCCTTCCAAGAGCGCAGAATAGCTGAAAATAAGGAAAGTAAGGTAATAATGCTCTTTTTAATTAACTTTCCCAACAAAAACCAAATATAAGAGGTATAAAAATATAGGAAATAATGCACTTATCAGAGGCCAATAAGCCTAGCAAACAGTTTCTAGTTGTTGAAGGCCGATAAGCCTAGTCCTCTATAAAGCCTTGTACCCATCTATTGTTGAATGAATAAAAAGGCTTATTTATGTACATACCCCTTGTGCTTTCAAAGTTGTCTCAGATTACCACATGTGCTTTGAAACGTCTCAAAATACCCCATACACTTTAAAAAACTGTCTTGCATTACCTGTTCCGTCAGTGTTAAGAGACGTTCTGTTACCTGGTGTGGGTCCCACTTCTTTTAAATTGCTTAACAATGGAGAATAAGGGTTATTCAGTTTCAGAAAATGGGAAATTGGTTGAGAAGGGGAAATTGGGAAGAGGGTAAGGTTTATGAAAATCTGTCTAGCAGCCTTATGAAAATATGTCTAGGATTTTTGGTGCACTATTCTACTCCACTGAGGTGCTGCACTCCTCCTCATCACCCCCATTTGAGCTTCTGCACAGTAGGGTTTGGCAGATTCGAAACCCTAGAGATTCCATTCTGCCAGTGCTCCATCAATGGCGAGTTGAAGGGGGAGACGTGAAGTAGCCCGAGCTCCAAGGTTTCATCCAGCAGCTCCGAGGGTATTTCGCTATGGCCATGCTTTGCAGATTTCAAAGTGGATAAGCGATGAACTAAATAACCCTAGCCCTCTTCTTAATCCTAGCCCTTTTCTCCCAATTTCCCAATTTCTGAAATTGAATAACCCTTAACCTCCATTGTTAAGCGATTTAAAAGAAGTGGGGTCCACACCACGTAACAGAACATCTCTTAATACTAACGGAACATGTAACGTGAGACAGTTTTTAAAAGTGTAGGGGTTATTTTGAGACATTTCAAAGCACAGGTGATAATCTGGGACAACTTTGAAAGCACAAGGGGCATGTAAATAAATAAGCCTAAATAAAATCACTCTTTTGTTCTCTAAAAACCCAACAATATGCACTATATGGGAAAGCTATGTTGTGTGAATAAGCTTAGTGATCAAGGTCTTAGAAATAAAAATGTTTGTACCACATAGGAGCAGCTCATGTGAAAATGAGATGTGATTAATAATGTGATTATCGCATTATGTAAATGTATATTTACTTTCAGATAAATTAATTTTAGTATATTTGGGAGTTGTTTGATGCTCCAACAAAGTCATTACATACTCACAAGAAGGAAATTGCAATTTGAGAAGTGCATGATAACTTTTTGGCGAATTGCTGTAATATATAAACTATCGGCCGAATTAATAATATTACGTGAAAAAAAAAAAAATAAAGGTTCCTGGTACGTGGAACCACTAACATGGCTATGTGCAGTGACAAAGCTGGGCTAGAAGGGATGGCCGTCTGACATGATCAGTCCGCTGTTGGAGTACCTGCAAGAGTGGGAGAAAGAAATCTAGTATTTCATGGGAAAGGCAGAGGCTCGTGATGGGAAGAGTACGATTGAGTTTGCTAACATATGAAGATTAATTAATTTATGGTACACCATACATAACATAACATATCATCATTGTTGAAGATATCATTAGTGAATATAAATGTGATACATAGATATATCTAACATATATATATATATATATATATATAGATACACATTTATTTATTCGGGCCTTAACCAAAATGCAATGAATATGCTGCCACTACATTCTGCTCCGAACAGAAAGCTCCTGCTTCATTTGGTCTCTCAAAACTCTTCTTAATAACTTGTTGGAGGCTGTTCGAGGAAACTCTGCAACAATCTTGACATGGTTCACCTGTTTAAATCCATCACAACAGTTGGAGAAATCACATAAACAACTAAAAAATGACATGAACCAGGTTGTCTTTTGAAACAAAACACAAGCCAACTGGGACATCACACCATTTTACTCCTTTAAATTGTGAATTTTGAGCTTATGTTTCCATGTTGAATAGATAGAGAATGTTAAAAGTCAAACCTTAAACAAAGGGTTGAGGTTGCTTTGAATTGCTTTTGAGAATTTCGCCCTTAGCTGGTCTACTTTGGAGTCAAATTCTTTCTTCACTACCACATATATAACCAACTGTTCAGGACCCCCATTCACAGGTGCAACACTGACTGCAGCCGTCTCCAAGACGCTTTCATCAGCCCGGTCACAGACACGCTCAATTTCAATAGAACTTGTCTGAAAATCAAGAAAGATTGAAAAAGTTTTAAGTATATCAATTTAAAGATAAACAGATGACCAAGCAACCCAGGTTCATACTTGCTTATTCATATATGACTTAAGAATGCTTCAGCATCACTCATCAAACAGAGGGGGCAGTTGAACACGTTACCTTGATGCCGCCGAGGTTCATGGTATCATCAGACCTGCCTTGAACTATGAAATGGCCTCCAACAGTTCTTTTGAGTATGTCTCCATGTCTTCTAAGGTGCTGGAGATACATATGTCAAATCATAGAAAATTTCTTGCTTTCATCATAGAGTAATTGAATTGACGAACATGAAACTTTACAGTGCACATCTAGAACCCACGTTCGAATGTATTGACAGTTACATTTAAGCACATAAAGAGCTTCAAGTATTGTAAGAAAGGCAGTTCTAATCATACCGTTCCATTGTACATTGGCATTCCCTTGAAATAAACTTCTTCATGATCAGCATTTAGCAGTCTATCAGTTGCTCCCATGTATAGTGGGAACAAACCCACTTCCCCAACACAAGCTTGATCCTCTGGCTGTCACGTTGATCAAGAAGATAAAATATATCAATGAGTTGATTTTGTTCATATTATCTTTGACCACCTGTCACCCATCACCCAATGCTTCAAGAAAAACATATCTGCCGAGCTGGCATGATGTAATCAAGCGACAGGTAGGTGATTGTAACAATTAAAGAAACTGAACCCCTATTAAAAACCAGCTAAAGAATGTGCTTACATAAGGAATTCCATGTTCATCAAGGATGACAAAACCTGTGGTCATCGACTTTGCGCTAAATGCCCCAAAAGCTTGTGGCTGCAGTGGACTTCCCATGATGTAGGACGATGAAAGCTCTGTGCCCCCACAACATTCAGTGATGGGTTTGTAATAAGCACGGGAAGCGAGCCAAAGATCATCATCAACGTTTGAAGCTTCACCAGTAGAAGCGAATGATCTGCACACACCCATGTTTAAGTGTTTTTTTTTCTTGGTATTCATACAACTAAGTTTATCTGAAGTTTACAAAGAAGATTACTTTATCTTTGTCCAATCTAGGCCTTTCATACACTGGGTATTCTTCCAAGCTTTTACTAAGCTAGGAACTGTACCCAAAATAGTGACTCCTGCATCCTGAAAAGATATAATAGAAAAAAATAAGGTGTTTGGATGACATATCACTTTTATGATCTTTAAGAGCTAAGTGAGTTTTTCCAATCTAAGGGTATAAAAAATAATGAATTAGGAGATTATTCCTCATTGAGATCTTTCACTTTATAGCTGCAGGCAATACATGCACCTTTCATTTCTAATATCTTTTAATTGAACGAAGTTAGCTCAGCTGTTGAAAAGAATAGAACTTGTATTAAATGAACTCATTGAGAAGAAGTATGTAGGTGTCACCTGCACAAATTTTCCAAAGCCACGACCTAGAGGAGATCCATGATACAGAGCAAGAGTTGCACCAGTTAGAAAGCATGAGTAGAGTAAAATTGGACCCATAACCCATCCTAAATTTGTGGGCCAGCAGAAGACATCTCCAACTTGAATATCAATGTGAGCCCATGAATCAGCAGCACATCTAATTGGTGAAAGATGTGTCCATGGAATAGCTTTTGGGTCTCCTGATGAACGCGAAAATATAAACTGAAGATAAAGATGAAAATGAATTTCAAAGTAGACAGCTAACAATAAATGTTGCCTTGAAAGCAATTTCTTTACCTGTGGTTCCAGATGAAAAGAGGATATTAGTTGTGGAGTCTATTGGCTGATAGACTGGAGAGTAATAATTCTTTCTGCCAAGAAAAGAATACCATTACAATGACATTGAAATTTGTTTAAAACTACACTCATGGAGAAAATGTTTAAGCTTTTCTGGATAAACTCAGCAATCTCTCATTGCATAACAAAGTCTTAAGTGGCCCGACCAATACCTTGGATTGTGACTAACACTAGAAAGAAAATCACTCCAGGGTAGATCCTGTTCTCTTAATTGAATGCCTACATTGCTCCCAATTGCTGGAAGCACAATAGCTTTACACGTAGCAGCCTCTGCAACCCGACTGCAAGGAAAGAAAAATCATAACCTTAACATGTCACATTTCACCAGTGTAACAATTAAGTTATGGTGGCAAAAGCATATCCCTCTTTATCAGGGTTCTTCTGGGGTTAGACTAGCATTCAAATCCATGATTATCACTTTAATATCACTATCCTTGAAAGAAGACAGATGTAGAGACTAGCATAATTTGAAAGAAAGTAGTATCTACCTGTAGAGAGGAAACTTTCGACCTCCTCTTAGTATGAAATCCTGAATACAAAGTGAAGGTAGGAATCATTTCCAAGAGCAAGAACCATAAAAACAGACTGCAAAATATGAGAACCAGTAAAATAAAAAACGTACTTTAAGGTCACTAAATCATGATACTAGATGAGTATTGTGCGAACTTCATTTTTAGTGTGCAAAACATATATATCATGCCTTGGCAGCACTTTTGACACGGTGACATTGCAATACATTAGCAAGTAAAAAATTCCCAACAGAGAGTAATCAGGGGCCGGTCTAGTTTACTTAGCTATCCTATAATTTTAAAGGTATAGTTTAACTTATCAAGAAAAATTCACCTGGGTAAAGACGCCCTTTGCTTTAGACACACGCAGGCGAGTTGCAATTTCCTTCACAGCAAAACTGTCCGCTATTGATACAACAACAAATCCTGCTAGTACAATTGCCAAATATATGATAACTGCATTGACTGTCATTGGCATGTCAATAGCAATCGCATCACCCTTTGAAAAGGTTGTATCCAGTGCATTAGCCACCAGCCTGTCAATTATGTTGTAGACAAAATCAACAGAGGAAAAAAACTACAGGATATTATGTATACAAGGAAAATAATTTGGAAAGATTAACTAAACACGCAGCACGACTAGATGCATCTGAGATAAGTCATAATCAACACTTACATGCAATGAATCTCAAAACAATTAAAAGAAAAAGCTAAATGGTACTGGGGAAATCAAATAGGAGCATACATTACTTGTTCCCGAAGTTCCTTTAACGTCATATGATTAACAGCAGAATCATCACATCCTTCATCCCTCCATATAACAGCAAAACTATCATCCTCTTTTCTTGGATGTCTGGTGGGTAGCAAACAACATTTGGCAATATTCAATGTTGAATATGGAAACCAAGCTCCACTGGGTTTGGATTTGTCAGTCCTATCTAGAATACACTTTGGGGCTTCTTGAAATGAAACTGAGAGCTCTTTCAGAAGAATTGACCAGTAAGCCTAATAACCATTTACACATAATGAATTATAATAAGAGCATAGTTCCTTTAATCAAAACACTGGAAAAGACTAATGCATAAAATGAGTACTTACCTCGGGATTCTGAACTGAGAATTTCTGAAAAAGGCTAAAACTTCTTATGGGGTCCTTATATGATGTTCCTAAAAGTTCTGAACCATGCGCTTCCATCAATCGTCCCAAGTTTGTATGTCTAGACTGGTATCTGACAATAGAGAAGATCAGGTTCAATTATTATTGTGAAGCAAAAATGAAAAGTAGCAAGAAGACATTCCATGTCTGCGGAATTATTGCTCCAAGATCAACACACTAATGCTAAATGTGTCAGGTTTAGTCAATCCATGTGTGATGATGTCCCACGTAAGTAAGGGTAATGAATGAATTTTGAATGTACCAACAGTCATACCGACCTTCCACTCTACAAAATTATTAAAGAAGCATCAAATGGTTGAAATTGATTTCATATATGGTTTGATTTCGATATATAATAAGTGGATTAGTTCAAATGATGGGTTTTATTCCGCTTCATTTTTAGCTCAACTTAGAGTTGAGATTCATTCCCGGCATGGCATGTCAGGTTAAAAACAAAATGTTTACAAGAAATAAGGGAAACAAAATAACTACAATACAACACTGGAGGGAGTGAGGGGGATTCCAAAATAACTACAATACAACAAAATGCTATAAAGGGTAGGGTAGGCACTTGAATGACCAAGAAACAATACAGCAGTAATTAAAGAGCAAACAAATTAAATAGAGGCAGGCAGAGAAGTAGAAAACAGTAATTCGACATTACAGAGAAGGGAACCAGTAGAGAGGAAGGCCTTTGGTGGAGACATCCCAATTGGCATAGACAGAGTAATAGATCAACTGGTGCAGCTCATGGGGGTGTGATGGTTTTAGCACTCTCTCAGACACCAGCTGCCGCCACACCTCTCTTGGGTCGTCCGATGAGATTGTATGTTGTTTAAGGACTGCTTCCAAATGCTTGGCCTCGTCAATGGCTAGGCCTGCCTCAACCAAGTCCTCTACTCCCACCTCGCTTATGCTCTTCTTCACCATCTCTCTCTCTCTCTCTCTCTCTCTCTCTCTCTCTCTCTCTACTTTTCATGTAGCTTACTCTTAGGAACAACTTCTGTTCTGTTTATTGACTTTAACTAGCAAACTGAGTAGGTGAGCGACGTGAACGACTGTTACCCACGTGTATGTAGCCCTCCAATATGATATTTAGTATTACTAATGACCAGAGTCGCAAAAAAAAAGGGAACAAAACTCGCTCCCCTCCTATAGTAACTACTAAAACTAGTTAAATGACTCGTTAAGGATCACCTGTCTGTCTGTCCCCTAAATTGGCGTCCCATTGTGTCTCCTCCTTATCTGCATGAACAAGGTAGGTGAGAGTGAGAGTGAGAGATATGTGTAAGTTACGCACGTGATAACTCCCTCGTATCCTAGTATTATTTGCCAACAAAACAGAAGAACCTATGTCTGAATTGGTCGTGTATTTTTTTCAGAATAGTCGATGATAATTCGTTTTTATATTTTCCATTTGCAAGTCTTGAGAAAATAGGGGAACAGGAGCTGATCCTATGTCTGGAGTCTGTCAAATGATCAGTTTATGTGGTTTGTTTTTAAATTGCAATAAACAATAGGGTACTCTTAAAAACAAAACAAAAATGCCTCTTTTATGTCATTTGACAACACCACCACGGGTCCTTGGCCACTAGATTCTCTGCACAACAAACACAGCCAACTTTTTCTTGGCCAAGTAGGTAGGGGAAGGTGGGAAACGTCCAAACCAAAACAACTAGCACAACTTTAATGACCTTAATCTATACATGAGTCTCAGACCAAAACAATAATTAAAAAAATAAAGGTCTACGACTAATCAATTTCTTAATCAAGCAATCAGCAAACTGCTGGAGGTTAATGATCAAATACAAATATGACCAATCAATTCCTTATGTGGCGCATATAATATATAAGATGAAAAATATGTTACAAGCATTCTGCTTTTCATTTTTTTTTGGTGTATGTATGGCTGTTGATATTCAGCAGGTACATAACATGACAAGCTCATAGTATACAGGTTGATAACATAGCATCCTTCAATTAACATATCTGCAGAGGTTGCTGGAATCTAATACTTTGTACTGTGTGAGTGGATCCTATGTAAACCTCACTTAGCAAATCGCAGCGTCCACTCAGCAGCAAGCTCGGCGTGTTTAGCTTCATCTTGCAAGTACAAATGGGCGATGCCAGGGACAAGTGGATTATCTGCTCAAACATGAATATCCCCATTCAATCAGTAGAAAAATAGGAAACACATCATGCTGATCAAGGTTATTAGCTAAATGAATATGATGTTTGGGAATATTTTCTATCTTAAGCCCAACTTAACTCATGCTGTGTTAAACAAAATGAGCACTGCTCTGTTCTTACATCATGTTTTATAAAAGACAGGTATGCAATTTTACATGTGAGGAACCTGACAGAATTCCTTCAATATACTAGTTTAAGTAATTAAAGTGAATGCCGTGATCTACCAAGACTCATTTCAAGAATTGAGAGGGGAAAAAGAAAGAAGGAAATGTAACGAACACAAGGACATGCTTACAAGTAGCCCCACACGGTTCAAAGGATAACAGAATAACTTACAAGGATCAGGCTTGGTGAAGATGGATTGAAGTGCTTGTAGAACCTTTGTAATTGTTAGAGCTGGACTCCAACTGTCCTTTAAGATTTCCAAACTTACATTTCCAGCAGAATCAACATTGCAATGATAGATTCGAGTTTTGAATACAACCTGAAAATCGGTCCGTTAAGTACAACAAATAATTAATTAAGAAAATGATATCATTAAAACAAAAGCTGTTCTCTATCAAGTCTTTCAAAGGAAACAACATTATTCAGAGGAAACTGAATGGGAGACACTACCTTTGGAGGTTGAAATGGATAATCACAAGGAAATGTAATGTCAAGGAAATATATGCCACCTTGGTATGGTGTTCCTAGGAACAAGAACACAGAAGTATAAGTCAATATTGCCAAGTCATACCAAGGAGACATTAAACAACTCCCTTACAACATAGTTATCTGCAGATAACATAACAAACAAACAGGAACACAGAAGTGATGTTCACCGCACATCATTGCATACAAAAGATAAAACTTTGAAGACTCCAATGTGTCAACACCACATAAGTAGGGAAAAGAAAGTTGGGAGAAAAAGTCATTGTCCCTTAAAACCATAAAAGAGCAGGAAAAGGCCTTCTCCAGAAATATAAGAAATATCAAGAACCAATAACAGGTTCCTACTTTCTACACATCCAACTTTCATTACACACAACATTATAGATTGGTTCTAAACTAATTCTACTGTCCGCGTATTTATGTTTGAAAAACCTGACATCCAAAAAGAAATCCCAATACGTGAGCAACAAAAGCACAAACCAAGGGATGCAGCTGTAGGAAAGACTACATAATCTAATAGCTAGAACCCTTCAATGGTATACTCCCCACCATTACAGTTAAAAAATCAGAAACCACATGCAAATAAACAGACCTTAGAAGAAATCAAAATAAATCTTATTGCAGCCACAAGTCAATGATCGGTATAAAGAGTTGAAAAACAGACAAGCTTGCTTGACAATGAACAAGCTCCTTAATAAAAGGCATATCAAAATAAGTTAGCAGCAGTAAACAAATCTTATTGCAGCCACAAATCCACAAGCCTAGACCAACTGAGCAAAGTTAGTTCTGGTGAAATACTTGAAAAAGTTAAAAAAAACCACTTCCTTTTACTTCTCAAAAGTAAACCTCTAACTATAAAATAAAAGTTGAGCAACCCCAAAAAAATTGATCCACTTTAAACGCAGAAAAGTTCGACACTATCCAAATTCTAAACTTTTTAATCCCTCACTCACTTGGTTATTAAAAAAACAATGTCCACTGCACGAGAAACACAAAATTAAGTAAAGTTCAGCTTAACCCAGAAAACAAAGCAAACCCACATCTTAAATATAAAAACTGAGCTGGGAAACTATAAATTCAAGCTCACAACTCCATAAGTAAAACCTTCAAATTTTCTACTTTTCAAGCTCACAACTCCACTTAGAAGCCAACATCTAAACAAATTAAGCTTAACCCAGAAAACAAACAAAGCAAACCCATATCATAAGTCATTTAACCGAGAAAGAAAAGATGAATTTTTTATTCTCCAATTCATAGAAGAGGAAAAAAACCTGGGGGCCCGATGATGGTTGCAACCCAGTTGTAGAGATTGTCACCCTTGGGCCCCGCACAGCAGCCAGGAGGTGGATCCAGGTTGAGCTCTACCATCTCTCTCTGAATCCTCTTCCCTGAGGACGACACAGAGGTGGTGGATACCCACGTCGATCTTGATGCTAAGGATCCTGCTGATGGCTTTGTCATCGTCAACATGCCTGCTAAGGATCCTGCTGCTGGCTTCGCCATCGTCAAGCACACTCAGAGAGAGAGAGAATGAGGAGTGAGCTATAAATGGAACGTGCCGTTTCGGCCAAAGTTAAAATAAAAAGTAGAAAAAATGAAACCAAATCTATCAGAGCCAGGTTTCGATCCTGGGACCTGTGGGTTATGGGCCCACCACGCTTCCGCTGCGCCACTCTGATTTATTGATAAATGGTGTAGAAATAAGTTATATATACAATTGTTAATGGGTGCATATACACCACCCCTTTCAGATATAACTGTTGTAAACCTTTGAGTGCGTGTTTATTTTTGGATAAAATCATTAACTAGGTTTTTTTTGTTTATAAAATAAAAATATAAAAAAATAAAAACCTTCTACAAATCTACCACCATATACATATTTATTCAATATTGGTTATGTTAACTTATATATATGCCAGCAATGAAAAATTGGGTTGCAGAGTGGAATATTATTATTTACTTTTCATAATGATCTGGAGACAAAAAAAAATTCTGCCACTTATTTGGGGAGATATGAATTAAGAAACATGTTAAATTCATGCATAGATAATTCGATATGATAAATGTAACAAGTAATTGTAAGCTAGAATTACTTTTTCATTGATAAGGTACAAAATACGTTCTAGTTAAGTTGGTGCCAAAAAATCAAGGTCTAGCCACTACTTCATCAGAATGCCTACAATTGAATGGAACTACACAAAACTCCCCAGAATTTGTAGAGGTGGAGAGATAAAACTGAGAAGTTGGAAACACAAGCAAAATTGATGAAACCATACATGGACATTTCCAGTTCTGTCACCAAGCTTGTGCTGCCGTGCGCTTCCCAGGTCCTTTTTCAATCATTTTGCTATTTCGAATGTTCTGCTATAACTATGCTACACGGTAACAAACTGGATGGCACCTCAACTCAAAGCAAAAGCAATACAAGAAATGCTGCCGGTATGAGATATTGAAGATTGGAAACTTGTAGATTTGAACTCCAGCCTCCAACGGCGCTTGAAGGTGCAATTGCCGCTGGTGTAAGTCCCCCGATTGTGCTTGAATTAGAACTGAATCATAATAGTACAAGTTTAGCGCCAAACCCATAATTTAGTGTACAAGTTCTAAAGTAATGATTATGAATATCAGGAAGAGGGTGAGATGCTCACCTTCCGGTAAATTTACAAGATCCATAACCTGTAAATGAATGCCCACCAAAATATTAGGAGGACAATGAGAAAATAAACAGAAGGATAACAAAGTAAGAGAAAAACCATGAAAAGAAACAAAATACTTGTACATGTTACCTCTCAAGGATAACAAACTTGAGAGGTAGTAGAAATGTACAAGTACCCATAAAAAGCAATAAAATGCTTAAGCTTGAAAGCAGGATGATAAAAAAGTAAGAGAAAAAAAAATGGCATACTAATAATGCTTCAACATGTTCACAAGCAGGCCTCAATAGTCAATATCACAATAAAAAAACATGCCTTTTTTCATGTTCATACACAACATAAGAGCTAATTAAAAAAACCACACCTAATAACTACTTAAAGCTGCATTAGCTACAAGCTTACTCTCCTCAGAAAAGGTTCTGCTACCCACTAAACTTTTGTTTTGTTTAACAGGAAGCACGAGTTTCATTGCAAAAATAAGAGAAATAAACAATAATCTCCTAGACATTGATGACTTTGTTTTGTAGAAAGTCCTTTACAACTGACTATCACCATATCTGAATGAAAGGCAATTCAAATTACAGTTTTGCTTCAAAAAACCTGTCTTCAGTTTCAGAACTAATACAAAAATAGTGTTTGGTGCACCCAAACATACCCAATAGTCAAGGCATAACAAAATGTAGACAGAAACTTACTTGGATCAACAGTAGTTGTCATGGCGGTGTCATCAAAGTCACATGTTCCGCCAACACTTTGCATCTTTTGATAATAGTCATTAAAAGCATATGAAGCATGATTTGCGATAGTATTGGGGAGATAACACCGCTGCCCTTTTTGAATAGGAGTGCAGTTAGCTTGGCCTTGCCCACAAGCCCAGTTTAAGCCATCCTGCAACTTATCAGGATCTGCATCAGCTTTCGCCACGCAGAAAACCCCAGAAGAATTCCCAGTATTTTGATTGGAAGTACTCAAACTTAAAGGATATACAGAAGACCCATTCGTAAAGAGCACACCCCAATTTTTCCCTGACACTGGTCCTGGCCTCTCGTCTTCATTGAACAACTCATAAATGTACGTGTTGATGGGCAACTTTGGCTGGCTGGGAGGACCTGAATCATTTAACACTCGCCGAATCAAATTATTTGTGTACGTCTGAGCATTTCCTGTGTTGGCATCCGGTTCATTGGATCCACCAAACCATGGCCAACCAGACTCTGTGACAACAATAGAGATCCCAGAAAAATTGAAAGCCTCTATAGAATAATAGGTAGCGTCCACCATAGCATCAAACATGCTGGTATAATGGAAAAGAGTGTTTGGGTCAACAATCTGCTTGACAGAGGGAAGTGGGCGGAAAAGAGCATAATCAAGCGGGAAAATTCCATTCCCCTCGGTGTACCCATAATAAGGATAGGCATTTAGCATGTAATAGGAATTTGTGTTTTTTATAAACTGAAGGATTTGGTAAATGGTAGGTCCCCATGATAAATTAAAGCCGGCAGTGGACGGGGGGAATGGCTTAGGGATTATATCCATGGACTGTGGAGTTGAAATTTTGACCTGATAATTTAGGTTTGAAGCAACCAGGGCTTTATGAAGGGAATTCATAGCAGAAACCAAAACCGGCGCAGCATGAGGAATTGAGGTAAGAACCTCACTGCCAACAGCAATGGCTGTAATATTGGTTGAAGGCAAATAAGCTGCAACATTTTTATTAATCCAGGCTGCTGCTGTTGATGGAGACTGTCCAATCCCTAGGACTTCCTCATTTGTGACACCTACCATTACTTCAATTCCACTGTTTGAAAGGGCTTTCAGCATGTGAGTATCAGCATTATAGAGGCGCACATGTGAAATTTGATGGGCTTTAAGGAGCGCAACTGTATCTGTCTCAGACGGAAGGTCTGAGACGTCAGTCCCAATGTTTATCCCGATGAATGCACCTATAAGTTTCAAAATTGTGATTCAGTATCTTGTTAGAGTGACAACACTACAACAATGAACAAAGGCATCCCAAAATTCCAAATGGTGCCCTTCTATTTGAGTAAAGAATTAACATATAAAAAATCCTCCATGCCCCAAAATTTTCCCAAGACCGATTATACCTACAAAGGCAAAGCCTCAAGCACAAGGCAGGTCTGGCAAATGACATTTCACAAGTGAAAATATATTACAAAAAGAGAGAAGATAACGGGAAAAAACCAGAAATCATATAATAAAAGAAACAATCAAAATCAAGGCATAGGTTGAGTCACTCTGAAAATACTAAGTGAAACGAAGATCATCTGTTCAAGATGTAGACGTACCCTTTGCAACTATTCTGAGGACCATAGAGTTATTTCTTACTACACACATGTATCATAAGTCAAGAAACTAATGTACTTTGGAAAGCAAATCAACACTGATAAGTAATACAGAGCTTAAAAGCAGTCATGTAAACATGAAGTAGCAATAAAAAATTGCAAAAGTCAGTAAGCCAAGCCCCCCATGTCAAGGAACTCCAGAAAGATTGAGCTCTTAATTATACTACCTCACTCAACAATATAAAACTGGAATTAACAGAAATCAGAACAAGGTTACTGTTTTACCTAATACACTTGTAAACATGCCGAATAGGAGCAAAAGCACGCCTCCAATCCATTTTTTATGCATCATTGGTACCAATAAGACTTCGAGCTATGTTTCCAGTGCCGCCCAGTTAGCTCGTAATTCCTAACCTGCCAGAAATGAAACATATATAAAATGCAATGAGATACTGATGAACAAAACCAAAGTAGAGCTACAGCTTTGTGTTTGTGTATCAATGGCCTTCATAACTTATAAATGCGCATTGCTTAATAGTGTATAGCATAAAAGGGAGTGTAACTATCAACACAACTCACAATAGCATTGGCTCATCGCAAGTATATTTTAATTTTCAAGAACAAAAATGCTAGATGCTAAGTCGCACCCCTAAAACAAACCGTGAAAAACCAACACCAAACATTCTAATTTAGACATGATATACTTTCAATCTCAACACTTGACAAACAATAGGGAACATGAGTAATATTGGTCATTTTCCCATTTAGCATTTTCAAAACGAAGGCCGAAGGGGAAATTTTAATCTGAAGCTGGGTTTGAAGAAACTAAATCTTACAAAATATTGAACAAGCTTCTATTCGTACGAACCCAGCACAAGAAATGCCTGAAGTCAGAGAATCGAAAAGACAAAAGAAGAAAAAGCAAAGGAGTGCAGAAGAACCAGATGTAGAAAACCAGGAAAAGCCATTGCAGAAGCAAATCCGACCACAAATAGCATTAGTGAAGAGGAGCTGAATATTAAAGAATAAATCGCAAAAAATTACCCGATTCAACTTCCCCAGCTGAAGAAAGCCAGAAAGTTACTTATTAAGTAAGATGCAAGACGTTTCTACTTCTTCAAACAAAACCCACATAAGAAACTGAACTACCTAGAACCAAAAATCTAAGAAAGATTCCTGATTTGTCTAAAGAAACAAATGTGGAAGCCAGAACAGCACTAAACACACACTTCTAGTGCTAGACCCTACATAAACCCTACATTAAGAAACCATCAAATCTCATTGCAACCCAGAAGAAAAAGAAGAAAAACAACACTGACAGACTCTGCCCCACCAGTCCATCATATTAATATTATTATTCATTCAATATTGACTGAAAAATACATAGCTGAGGCAACAAAAGATTCATAACGTTAAGAAAAGAGAGAGAGAGAGGGAGGAGAAAACCTGTTAACGGAAACTTCACTAGACAGAGTGAGCTACTGAGTTTGAGAAAGACACTGAGACCCAACTCAAGTGATGTGAAGCCGAGTCTTGGAACTCCTGTTTCCTTGGTTATTCGTTGGTTGTCTTTTTCTATTTTCTTTCGCCCTTTATTATTATTTTTTTTTTTAAGAAGACTCATTGGGATTATCGCCAAGTCCTTAGTTTTTATTTAATTATTTCGGTGATTTTTATTCGTTTTTCCCTCCAAAAGTCATTTTTCTCAACTCGAAAAAAAGAAAGAAAAAAGTGGTGGAGAAAAGTCATGCATTAACCGCGTCAAAAAGGGAAGGACGGTTTTGATTTGAACTCCAACTCGATGCTCATTAATCATAAGAAAACCGGAAAGGCAGAAAAGGAGACGATTTGAGTTCGGTGATATATCAGTTAGCTTTTTTATTTAAATACACCAAATATCAGTTAGCTAATAATACATTGCAATAAATTTGTAATTATACTTATATATATATAATTGAAAATAAAGTCACTTCACAAAAGGATAGATTCTTTTGTCCAAAAAATAGATGGGTTCTGACTCACGCCAAAAATTAGAAGACAAATTCACAAGCACAACAAATGGATTATGGATGGATGGATACCAATCGTCTAAAAGTAAAATGCCTTCTTTTGAACACTTTGTGTACTGACTTTTACTCGGGGATCTCAAAAATAAGGACCTGGTTAAGCTTAATGGCATAACAACGCATACACGACAATAACCAAATCACCAAATTCAAGGTTCTGCCATGACAGATGTCATTGAAACAAAAACATAAACCTACACATCTTAATCTGAGAAACGACCAGATCCCTTCAAACAATACGTTCACATCATCAAACATAACACATACTAAATGAAATTCAAAAGGTAGCATAGCAAGTTTCTACTAGCTTAAGAGCTCTCTCTACGTTGTTCATGGACTAGGAAATCGGTCTCCATTTGGTTCCCTTGGGTAATCTTCATTAAAAGGACTTCGGTTCCGTCTGTCGACTCGCCTTGGACTGTGACTTCTGCTTCTGCTCCTGCTTCGGCTTGGACCCCTATCCGGGCTCTCACTGTGGCTCCTTGAGCCCTTATATGGTGGAGGAGATCGAGAAAATGACTTCTCTCTACTGTACCTTCGCTCTTGGGGTGGTGATACAGATCTAGCAACCAATAACAAGCAACAGAAGCTCAAATATTTGAACAAATAGCAGAGCGCACTAGACAGAAACACATAAGTTGATGAGCATAAAAGATGAAAGAAATTCAGAAGTGACAGACATTATACAAAATGTAAATAAGCATTTTCTAGCAAATACTATTCCTGAAATCATTATCAATAGGCTAATACCACCGGATCTTTCAGAAACCAATCAAAGGATAAAACTGCCATTTTGACACCAAACAAAACACGAATTACAACAAATTAAACCCATCCTTCCTTCAGTCAAACAATAGACAACTAGCAACAGGCCTAAACCCCAAATATAAACTTATCCCCAAAATCTAATGCATCTTGTTTGGATTTTGCAAATGATAAACAGGTTATGCAACCAGAATCAGAAGTTTCCACACATAAATGCCCTTACTGGAAAGTAGATGGCCGGGAGGAAAACCAAAATTACCTCGAATAATCCCTTCGTTTTGGGGGAGGAGAATAATAATCACGGCTGTGGGACCGAGATCTTGTATGGCGTGGAGGTGGAGATCGGGAATATCGTGGAGAGCGTGAACATCGAGGAGGAGACCGTCTTCGATCACGATATCGACCACTCCTGGTGCTGAAAGAACAAACATTTGAAAGGTTGAATAGACTACTCAGAAGTAGAAAAAGGATTGTCCTGATATTCTCAATTAAACACTACTTATATTATTCAAATATTCACTTTGCATAATTTCTTCTTGGAGCAAACGTAAAACAGCAAAACTGCAAGTCCAATATTCAAGACATTAAGGATAAATTAAAGCACGATTTTGATCCTCACCATATCCATAGAATCACTCATATTTTCAACTTAAACTTCTACTCCAAATGGTTACTACAACAATATTCTTGTATTACATGTCAATTAGAATTTAAAATTGTCACCAAATATTGGAACAAACATAGAAGTCCTTCCCTAAACAATTGCCACACATTAGTTTCATAGAATCATACATATCATGCCTAAATAAAACTTGAAAGGAAAAGAAAGAAAAAAGCAAATAGATAATCAGAAGATATATTATTCCAATCAAAGTGCAAGTTCCAACCCATATGACAAAGCCTGTAAAGCAATAGGCAGGTTTTACCTTGCACGCTCCCTATGCCTCATATCGGATGGCTTCTTCCTGTTCTCCTCTGCAAATACAACAGTAACCTCTCGGCCTTGAAGAAGCTGACCATCCATCTGATATTTAGCCTCTTCAGCATCAGCAGGTTCAACAAATTGGACAAAACCAAAACCACGAGGCTCCCTGTAAAAATAGGTGTAAAGAGAAAACAAAGACAAGTCACAAAAGGAACTACACTGAAAGGTAACACTATGCAAGTACTTGGACACCATAAACCATTCTTATTAAATTTTCCGAAATAATCGCCAACAATATGGATGGCCACAATAAAGAAGCAAGCACTTGGCTGCTGACCTTGCAAGTGTCAGTTTTAAGATGACTTGAAATTCTTCAAGACTTGGAACATCTTCACAATGTATTCAAACTCAACTTCCTTCAAATCTTCACTACCATTAACATCATCTTCAAAAGAACTCTAATTACTTGATTGTTGTCTTCAAAACTTTAATTTCACTGTTAAACCTCAAAAACTTCAATGAATACACCCCAGCTTATGGTAATAATAAGAGTAGAACATATTAAAAAAAAAACCATCTTGGGGGTATTTTTATAGGAGCATGGCAGGGCCTGCTAGGTCAAATCCCACAAAACACATTTTCAAATATTAAATTGATTCCTTTAGCAAATAACGAAAAAAGCATTGAACATATCATAAGGTGCATTAGAAGGGCCTGCTAGGTTAAGTCCCAGAAAAACACATTTTCCAATATTAAATTGATTCCTTACAGAATTAATGTAAATAGCATTGAGCATATCATAAAGACTAATTGTTCTCAAAAGCTATGCTTTACTCTAGAATAAAATGTGGGGACAGAAGCATAACAAGAGATGTTCCACTTCAACTATAGAGATTCTGAAAAGAAATATCTCCAAACAAATTCAATTCCTATCAGATAATTGAAAAAATATCACAAAAGCTTACTAAATCATCCAATAGTTTCAGAAATCACGAGGCAGAATAAGCAAGAGGAAAACTACACAATTTCTACGAATAAGGTAAAATATACATATATAAAATAAACACTAGAATAAAATATACAAAAAAATAATAATTGAAAAGTTAAATCTCATCGCCAAGATATTCGATAACTAAAGTTACTCAGATATGCTCACCCAGTATAGTAATCTTTTGGCAGGTAAACATCCTTAAGAGTGCCAAACTGCCCAAATGGCTTGCGGAGATCTTCTGGCCTGCATAAGAGAACATAATGAAAAAGAAACATCTCATTAATTCAAAATTTATTTAACACGTAAGATGTTAAACAACATTTACTAAAGGCATACGAAGCCACAAGATGCATAATATCCAATTGGGGGAACATATTTCAGAACAATAAACTTCTAGCAATTGATCCCGTTCAACCGAAAAGAAAGAAAATGGTTGCAGACATTATAAGGCGAAAAGTCTAACTTACAGATAAGGAAATAAAATAACTAAAAAAACATAAATGATAAACATCAACCAGGCTGATCCTCTAAAGGAAACATGTTCCATATAAAATTATAAACAAACATGATTTGTTGAATGTTCAATGTTCAATTATTCACAATAACTAGCATGCTAGAATCACAAGAATAGTAGGACAGATTGGGACTACTATAGAGTCCAAAGCATTGTACAATATGAACCATGATTTACAAGAAGCATACATATGAACTGATGTATCACATCTATTCAACATATTTCCTCCTTCGTTTTGCTGAAATGCTCATAATCTATCACTAGTGTTTTTGTTTTTTGTTTTTCTAAAATATCCATCACTTGTCCTTGCATAAAATTTGCAATGTAATCATATTACTAGAAGGAAAAAAGAGAATGATGGTACGCCACAACAAACCTGCAGTCATGGCGAAGGTTACGAACTAGAAGGCTTGTAGGAAGATCTCTGCTACGACCACCATAGCGACCCCTGGGGCTAGGACTTCTTCCCCTCCTACCATATCCCCCCCTTGGTGGTGATGGGCTGTAGCTCCTTCCCCTCATTTTTAGTTGATTGTCAGCAGCCCTGTGTCCAATTTCAAAAATTCATTATTAACTTGAAAAAAGGAATATTATAACATTACGGAAACCAATCAAATGAAGTTCACCACTAATTTATAAGCCACCAAATTAACCCTACAAATAAGAAAGAAAGATTTCAAGAAAAAGTATCCCAAGTTATACCAATGCAAGTTCTTTCCGGTGCAAGAAAATTACTACATAAAAAACAACAAAATTAAACATAGCTTTGTGGAGAATAATAGATAGGCACAAAGTAACTCACTCTATTAGCTTATTAGGGAAACCTAGGGTTCACCTGTGGAAGGATTTTGAAACGGGGAAAAAACACCTCAATGGGAACAGAAAAACCATGTTCTACCCAGGTAAAGTTGATAGAAGAAAAAGAAGAAGAAAGAAGCACAGCGAAACTTTCTTCGAAAAAGGGCCAATTTTTAATTTATTAAAGTACGTTTATTTAGATCTTTTTTCAAACAATGAAATTGAAATTCGCTACATAGATGATGAATTACAAGCATATACTTGGGAGAACAAGTACCAATTTGACAAAATCCTGCGAATATAGAAACGCTAACAGGCATAAACTCCTGAACCCTAATATTGAAACATATGTGTAGTATACACAACAAAATACATAGCGAGAGAGAGAGAGAGAGAGAGAGAGAGAACAAGAAAGAGAGAAGGAGAGAGACCTGAAGACGGTGAATTAGCGAATTTGGGTTTGGCTGAGAAGTCGACGGCGGTGCTTGCTTTGGTTGTAACTTGTATGTATACGACCAGACACAGCGTCCGATAGCTATAAAACTTGTATCTGCAATATATCCGAATCGAAGGGCTATGTTATTATGTCAAGTGTCTAGGGTTAAAAACCGAGTCGCGCGTCCTTTTATAGGGAAATATTATCTCAATAATACCCTTGTACAATTCTTTCTTATTATCCCAATAATCTATCCCATTCTCATAATAAGGAAAGAACGGTGCCTATATAAAACAAGCAACCTAGCGCGAGAAGAAAACAAAAGAACAATATTTAAAAAGCTAGGAGGTTCAACAACAACAAAATCTTGAGGAACAAGGAGAAGAGGAAGTGGCGGCAGACATGGTTTGGAAAGGTGATTATGATGACAAATCTATCTACATATGTTTGGCCGAGCACAGAGTGGATGGCTACTCTACTTACGCTATTAAAGCCGTTGAATTGAGCGCCTTATCTTCTTCTTCTCTGTCTTCTGGGTGCTCACTGAAGTTACGGCAAGTGGCTTACACATCCGGCGAGGATCTTCCGGATAATATGGCCTGCGGTGTCTTCGGATCCAAAATTCTTTTGGCCGGTGGCACGATAGGCGTGTATGACCCGATAATAGCTACCCAGGAAGGCAGATATAACCCGGAATTAGGCGGATTCGTGCCATGTCCGTGTACAGAAATCCAAGTGTTTGATACTCGAAATCAAAGCCAAAGCCCCACCACCTTCAGGACCTTGGGGAGTTTCATTGAAGGGAAAGCCAACCCCTTCCTCCTAGAGGTGGACGGAAAGCTGTATGCTTTGGCTAGTTATCCCATACAATCATCTATCAATTCTGGGGGTTCTTCGTATTTCGAAGTACTCGATCCCATTCGCGGGGTATGGTCGACTCTTCCATACCCGCCGGTTTTCAATGACTATAATAGGACGTACGGCCATGCTGGGCCTGGAGATTTTTTTTGCTTTGTCGCAGGATCAAACATCTTTTGCACCAGTGCATATTCTCCCTCCTACTACCGATTTGATGTTGCTGAGCCCGTCAAGGGATGGAGAGCACTCCCTCCTTGTTTCAACTCCGGGCCTTTGCCTGAAAATATATTAGGCAGAACATTCGTGGCAGACGGTGGTGATGGGGAATTTATACTCTTCAGTTTTAGTTATGGAGAGCCAGAGTATCCTCATCCGCATATACAAGTGCAATTGCTGTCGTCTGATTTTGGTTGTGTGACGACTCTAAACCGTGTGCTGCTGCCAACAGATAAGATACCTCCGGCTCCGGTATTCCTTCCCCCTACCAGTTATAGGTTTGTCAATCTAGGAGGTCCAAGACTCTGCCTTCTTTTGTCCAGCTTCGATAGTTATGTTGATGGGGTGGAGAAGGAGGAGGAGGAGTTGATCGTTTTTGCCCTACAATTTGAATTTACCAAGAAAAAGGATTCCTTGGATGTCCAATTCCTCGGTACTAACATTTTTGTTGAAAGCGACACTGACACCCAGCGTCCTCAAGAATCTGACATCTATACTGTAGAGATGCTTGGCGCCATTTTGTTGTAAGTTTTGTTGGTTAATTATTTTCTCATGTCTTTATACTTTAGTTCACTGTGCCTCTCTGTTGTGTTTTTGTTCACTATATTTTCTTTAAATTTCCAGTTCATTCATAATTGCATTTTAGAGAGCATGTGTAAATGCGTGTATGTCTGAATATGATAAGCCACTAAGCCTAAAGTGGCTGTCGTTGTTATTCTAGTCCATTGATGCGTTTACTTGCACTGAACATCTGTTTTGAACAACATATAATTGATAGAAAATAATTCACAAGTTCCGTACAAGATTTTTCGGAAGGAAAATCATATCATTGGTTGTATAGGTATCGCAATACATATATACTTTTATATTTATGTATGTATGAATCTTTCTTCTTTCTCTTCTTTTCTTGTTCGACTCTGTTTTGCTTTTGGTTTTGTTTGAGTTATTATTCTTCTTTATTTATTTGTCTTTAATCCTTGGAACAGGTGACTTACTGGTGAGAGGACGGATTTTCTTTGGCTAAGGAGTGGGAGGGCCTTGCAATCATGAAGAACGATCTTTTGTCTAGCATAGTTAGAAAGTTATGGTTAGAATGATCCTTAATTAGTACAGGCCGTGTTTGGAGAAATCTAAGTGTTGTTAAATGAAAGAAATAAAATATTCAAGTTTTGAAGTTTGGGGATTTGGGGATTTGGGTTAATTGTCGATTAACCCCTTGGACTGTACGTACCTCAATCAAAATTTTCCCCCCCCTCCCTCCCCCCTCCCGCCTCAAAAAATAATTTTTTTTTTTTTTTTTTTTTTTTTTTTTTTTTTTTTTTTTTTTTTTTAGATTAAAAAAATAAGTAAGTAAATAATGTAAAAGCTTTTTTGCCTTTTGCCAACCCCCTACCGTCTAAATCAACAACATGTCATCCAATAATCTGTCAAATCATTATAAGTTGGACTGAAATGCCCCTCCATGTTAGACGAATTTGACAAAAAATTAGGAATTGTCCTTAAATTGCTTGGAATTGAATAGAAACCAAAAATAACATTTTGCCTCAAAGGTTATATAGTACCAACTTGAAATCAGCCAAATATAGTTTGGAAAGTTTTATGTATTTAAAAATAAATATTCAATTTACTCCTAATTTAAAAAGAAAACAGAAACCCTAACCCAATTAACGGGGGAAATTGACTTCCTGAGTCCTTTCTCTTTTTTTTATTTCTTTTTTATTTTATTTCCCCCTCCTTCCTGTCTCTGCCTCAAGTCAACGCGAGTCCCTGTTTTTTTTTTTTTTTTTTTTTTATCTTTATCTTCTTCCTCACTTTTTCTTTTTTTTTCTTCTTACCTCTCTGCCCCTGAAAAAAAAACTATATCTTCCCATATCCTAAATACAAAATCAGCCAATTCAAGAATCCCCTCAGCCACAATTAACACCTATCTTTATCTCGTCTCATATTCTCTGAATTTTAGCCTAACCCGCCGCCACCTCCAATTTTTCCCACCACCTAACCGCCTCTGTTAGTTAGGCTGTCCGTCCGCTAAGAAGCTTTTAGAAATCAATTGGAAACCCCAGTCTAGTCTAGGGCTAATGGAGTGGGAGAGGAATAGTCAGAATCCTAGACGTGTTTTTTGCTAATGAGGAAGGATTATTTTCTGGTGATGATGAAGTCCTATACATATGCTTTGCTAAGTACGGGTTAGATAATGTGATTTCTTACGTTATTGAATCCATTAAATTGAACACTCTGTTATCGTCTCCATGCTCGATCTCCTGCCCTTTTTCTCATCTACCTAATAGAAACTGCTCAATCATGCACCATGATTGCTCCTCCCAACTACAATTGGAGCAAAAGTGGCTACTATCTCTCGTAAGGATCCTCCGACCCATGTCGGCTGCGGTGTGTTCAGATCAAAATTCTTTTTGCCGGTGGCGTGAAAGGTAGACGGGACCGAGGACTACGCAAATACATGCCATGCTAATGCAGGCAAATATTTGAGTTTGAGACAGATTGGACTCTGAATCCCAATCGCAGCATCACACTTCAAACTCAAGTATTTAGGGGTCGGAAAGCTCTGCTTTTGCTGCAGGAGATTGAAGGAAAACTTTACGCCCTCGCCTCTTACCAACTATCTTTCCATGCGAGCCCATATTTTGAGGTTTTTGATCCGCAAGAGGCTAAATGGTTGCCTCTGCCAGATCCTCCAGCTTTCCTCCGTTTCAACACCAGGGAGGTGCGTCATAGTCCGCAGCAATATTGTTTCACAATCGCGGGCACCAATGTCATTATGTCATGCGTAGGAGAGCCTGTATACCGCTTTGACGTTGCTGACCCGATCAACCAAGTATGGAGAGTACTTCCTGGTATTCCTTTATGGGACTTGAATTTTCATGGAAGAGCATTAGCTGTGGACGATGGGGAGGGTGATTTCGTGATTTTCTGCTATGGTAGTTTACGCGCGCGTAATGCCCTACCAATCTACCTCATGCCCAAGGGCTATAATGAGTTGAAAGCCGTCAAACCTCTGCAGCTGCCAACAGGGTTGTTACCTCCTGAATTTGTTGTCTCACCACCCAACTCTAGGTTCGTCCACCTAGGAGGTCAATATGTCTGCCTTGTGTTGTCCCGATTTATGGGACCATTCAGCTGTTATTATATGGCTGATATCGAGAAGATTAGTGTTCGTGTCCTAATCTTTGAGTTCGAAGTTAGCAAGGATAGAAGGTCTGTGGACTTCAAGTTCTTATATTCTCGCATTCTTGAATGCGATCGGTCTCAACATTCTGAAGCTATGAGCAGCAATGGAGAGATGCTGACCAGCGATGTAGAGTTGGTTGGTGCCTTTGTGATGTAAGTTTTGTTGATTAAATTATGCCACCAAGTAATATGTACTTTCTTTAAATTTCCAGTTCATGATCATATTCACGCTCACATTTAGAGAGCATGAGTATAAATATGCGTGGGTCTGAATGTGATTGTTGTATTGTATAGCTGCGTTGTAAGTGTTGGTTAATTATGCCGCATGACTTGTATATTTTCTCAGTTTTTGAACAACATATGATTAATAGAAAAGAATTAAGAAGTTCCGTAGAAGATTTTTCAGAAGCAAAATCATAAATTGGTTTTTTCTATTGCCATTTGATGCGGTGTTAGAGTATCAACTAAGCTATTAGAGACTACACGTACGTATCCTTTCACTTATGACTAGATTTTGTTAAGCAGCCAGTTTGTATTGGCATTTTGTGCTCAAGCATTTACTTTTATATTTATATATGTATGAATCTTTGTTCTTTCTCTTCCTTTCTTGTTGGTCTCTTTTCCGACTCTGTTTTGGTTTTGTTTTGTTTGAGTTATTATTCTTCTTTATTTATTTGTCTTTAATCCTTGGAACAGGTAACTTACTGGTGAGAGGAGGGATTTTCTTTGGCTAAAGTGTGGAAGGGCCTTGCAATCATGAAGAACGATATTTTGTCTTAGAAAGTTATGGTTAGAATGATCCTTAGTTAGTGAGGAATGTAGCTTTACTTTTGATCAAGGTTTTATTGGTATATTATGAGATAGTATGGAAACATGGTTTGTATTGTTATCCTATCATCCATGATTTGGTTTTCTTTCATAATCTTCGACAAAAGGATCTCTAAATGTGATTAAAAGCAACAAATTGTTATCGAATGTGGCTAATTGTGGGCCAGATTGGGTGATACTAAGGAAAATTATTGATATAAAAGGTGGTGTTCTAAATTTGTTATCAAAATGCCATACAGGATTTGAAATCGTCCTCTCCCTTGAGCACACCTCAGCTTGGTTGAGTAGGCTATGTACCATGGAAAATTGCCCACTGATTCGAAGTATTTTGCCGAGACCATGGACGGAAGCAGCTAGTGCCCACTGTGGCAGCTTCCCCCACTGAAGTTTTCAATTTTCCTTTTCTTTTTTTTTATTAGTGGGGGGGGGCAAAGCCCCAATAAACAGATTTTCCATATTTACTTACATCTATTGTGTGCTCAATCTAAATTAGCTAGCTTGTTTGGCTCGCAAGGCATGAGAAAATGTCCGATTCGGATCTCCCTTGCCCATTTCCTTTCCAAAAAGTCAGATATTTGGAGTGGAATTCAAGTACGTAGTCATGAACCAATTTTAACAACTCATTCGAAAAGAACAAAACCAAGAGTTGGTTGGTTAAATAAGACCAAAGGTAAATCAAATCCAATCCCATTCCACAAGCACAGTAATGGAAAGAGATTAAAAGTCATAAAAAAGTTAAGCTCCTGATTCGTTGGTAATGGTATCCGTATTCCCTGTCATTTCCCCTACACATAAAGGGTACTCAACCTTAAAACAAAACGAAAGCTTGACTGCATGCAGAGCTGCCAAAGTAGAATATCCATGAAATTGTCCTAAATATAAATGCGTTCAAGAGTGACAAAGCACTGATACAATTTGGCCAAAGTAACTTCAGATCTCATTGCAGACTTCTGGTATTTGGATTGCTACAGTCCAATTGACCATTCAGGTTCCCAGATCCTTTCTAAAACAAACCATGTAGTCTGCAAAATCACGCAGCAGGCACAATCACTAACAAGTAAATGTCCGCAAGTGTTTGTGTGCTTGTGCTCCTTTGTGTGTTTGTATGTGTAAGAGGAAGAGAAAGAGTACCATGACAGGAGGTGCTGCGCAGAGAAAAAAAACAAAAAAACAAAAAACACCCTTAAAAGAATCCAAGGGCACACTCCAGGGAGGGTGCTAGCATATCCACTTTCTTGATAGGCAGATATATGTGTTTTAACGGTAAACTGCATGCATGATGCTGCAAAGAATGCTGAAATAGCACTTGCACCTGACCATGTAGAGGGTAGAAAAATCTACGTACCCACATCTGCACAGATCAGTATGAAGCGCGCACCTGACAAATTATTATATGCTATGCTAGATAACCAGGATACTCTTAGGGCCTCAAGAAGAACATATTCCCAAAAGGAAAACAATAATACTACTTTTGCTCGCTCGTGAAGCATGAAATGCCAATGTTCTAAAATTTAATATGTCTAGAAAGGACAAATATACAAATTGGACTATATCCGTTTTGTTTTATACCTTGTCATGAAACAACAGTTTTGATATCACAGTAGTCAAGGAAATAACCACGGTTAAATTTTGAAATCAACAGTTTTAATTAAGCAAATAATGCCTAGAAATTCAAGAAGTCAAGGAAGAATTTTCACCCAATTGTGGTCTTGTTCCGCTAAAACCACAGGATTCCCTGAGGTAATGGAGGCATGTATTATATGATGCGAGCATACCCATGTCTAACCACATTTCTCTCCACTGAAGGACTTGAAACTCTCCATATTACTTGAACCTTTCCATCGGCAGCTAAAGAGTAGACATTACGAAACATTGTCTACCATTCAAACGTTGTTGTTGAGTTTGTGGAGTACTATCAAACTGCTTAGCCAAAAAATCCAAGGTACAACGGAAAATTGATGCATGCTCCAGCTGCTCTCCAACAGTCAACCTACAAACAGCTTCTTGATAAGGAGTTGGAAGCAATTGCTCTTTTTCTTATAACCCTAATAAAAGGGAAAGCAATTAACATTTGAAAAGAAAGAAGTTGTCTACTTTTGAAACCAAATAATTGATGCAACGTTAATCAGTCAAACTATACTACAAGAGCTTGATGAAACATTATATAGGGAGATCTCAAAGGGCAGTAATCATTCCTCAAATCAAGGACCTTGTAAATGCGGTGAGAAGACAAACAAATAAATGAATACAGTGAGGATGAATTTGTTAAACTTAATGTCCTATTTGCCGGTGGCGTGAAAGGTGGACTAGACCCAGAAGTAGACGAATATAGGCCATGCCCATGCAGACAAATATTTGAGTTTGAAACTGATCGGACTATGAATCCCAACCGCAGCATCAAACTTCAGGCTCAAATATTTAGGGGTCGGAAAGCTCAGCCTTTCCTTCAGGAGATTGAAGGAAAACTTTACTCCCTCGGAACTTACCAACTGTCTTTCCATGCGAGCCCATACTTTGAGGTTTTTGACCCGCAAGAGGGCAAATGGTCGCCTCTGCCGGACCCTCCTGTTTTCCTCCGTTTCAATACCAGGGAGGTGTGTCACAGTCCCCAACAATACTGTGTCACAATCGCGGGCACCAACATCATTATGTCATGCATAGGAGAGCCTGTATATTGCTTTGATGTTGCTGACTCGATCAACAAAGTATGGAGAGTACTTCCTGGTATTCCTTCGCATGACTTGAATTTTCAAGGAAGAGCATTAGCTGTGGACTATGGGGAGGGTGATTTCATTATTTTCTGCTACGGTAGTTTGCGTGCGCCTAATGCTATACCAGTCTACCTCCTGCCCAAGGGCTATAGCGAGTTGAAAGTCGTCAAACCTATGCAGCTGCCAACAGGGTTATTACCTCCTGAATTTGTTGTTTCACCAGCCAACTCTAGGTTCATCCACCTAGGAGGTCGAACTGTCTGCCTTGTGTTGTCCCGATTTATGGGACCATTCAGCTGTTATTATATGGCTGATATCATGAAGATTAGTGTTTGTGCCCTAATCTTTGAGTTCAAAGTTAGCAAGGATAGACGATCTGTGGACTTCGAGTTCTTATGTTCTCGCATCCTTGAATGCGATGGCAACTGTCAGTCTCAAGATTCTGAAGCTATGACCATGGGTGGAGAGATTCTGACCAGCGATGTGGAGTTGGTTGGTGCCTTTGTGATGTAAGTTTTGTTGATTAATTTTGCCACCGAGTAATACATTTTCTTTAAATTTCCAATTCATTCATAATCATATTTACAATCAGTAAGTCCTCAGCATTTGTTAATTACTAGCCTCTCTGTCTTCCTCTTGCGCATACATCTCTATCCTTTCACTTCATGACTAGATTTTGTTGAGTGGACAATTATCAAGTTTGAATTCCAATTTCGTGTATGGATTAGTTAAGTTGGGTATGGCCATACATATATACTTCTGTATTTATATATGTATGAATCTTTCTTCCTTTCTTTTCCGGTTGGTCTCTTTTCCTACTCTTGGCTTTGATTTTTGGAGTACATGGTCATTTTCCCCTACATATTCACAGAACAAAGGGGGCTAAACCTTAAAACAAAACGAAAGCTTGACAGCACGCAGAGCTGCCAAAGTAAAATATCCACGACCACGAAATACTCCTAAACATAAATGCGTTCAAGAGTGGCAAGGCACTGATGCAATTCGCCCAAACTAACTTCAGATCTCATTGCAGACTTCTGGAATTCAGATTGCTACAGTCCAATTGACCATTCGAGGATCCTTTCTAAAACGAACCATGTTGTCTGCAAAATCACACAGCAGGCAATCACTAACAAATAAATGTGTGCAAGTGCTTGTGCCCGTTTCACTACAAGAAAAACAAGTATTAGTGTCCAGCCACTTGGTCACAAAAAATACCGTTTTTGGTCACTAAATGCAATTAGTGTCCAAATACACTAGAAGTTCATAACAAATTCTATTTAGCGACCATTCTCAAGTATTGGTCACTACAGCACAAAGAATTTGGTTTTTTTTTCCCCTGTTTCAACAAATGGTTCACTTGTCAACTTCAAAATGTGCCAATATTGGTCAAGCAGGCACGGTCCGGTATATCAATTTTGAATTTCAGTCAAATATATGAAATTTTGCGGTTTTAAGAGATGAATGATTCTGGTTAGACATCCGAGTGATGGATGCGGCTCCAAATACATACAGACAGCAGAAGAGGAGCCAGGCTACGACGGATGCTTGAAAGCAAAGATTTCGGATCCGAGGGAGCCTTATCTAAATGTATCATTAGCCTCTTTACATTGATTGAAATATCTTATTTGGTTATACAACTGAACATACCACTTGGCGTGAAGTTGATCAAAGGCAGAAGGGCATATATGGTATCAAAAGCAATACTTATTTCTCACCCTTGTGTGCAAACCACGTGAAAATACTCTACAATCATCGCCTTCCTGATGCCACAGATTCAGTAGAGAAAAGGTACTTCACTCGTGAAAGAACCGAATCATGAGCAGGGTCATAAGGATGATCCTTGGAAGGGATTTCCAAAATAGCTGGAACTGGCCTGTTGTAGCTATCAACTAGAAACCTTATCATGTTTGCAACCTGGGAAGGGAACAGGAGAAAAAAGGTCATCTCCTTCCTAAAAGAAAAATAATCTTCAACGAACAACCAGTTTGGAAAGAATGAATACATCGCAATACATACAAACAAAGATTGCTATAAATTACAGTAAGTGTAGCAACCACTTGGGAACTAAGGATGTCACCTTACAAACCAGAAACAACCATCACCATAACAGTTGAACAACTTCAAAGTATGAGAAAGAACTTACATATTGGCTTATCAAGACAACTGCAATGTCCTCCTTTGTGGTAAACTCTTTGAATGCATCTTCAATTGCTTTCACTGTTGTTTCTGAGCAAAAAACCAGAAGCACATGCAATTCGATATGAAAACAAGCACCAGCAACTGAACCTTGCTTTAACTAATAATATGAATTCATAGCTAAATTGTTCACACCGAAAAATCAAAGAAGAAAAAGAAAAGTACAATTTTCATTTAATGTACCAGGTTGTAGGCTAATTTCAAGCACTGCAATACTCATTAAGAAGAGAGACAAAAGGAATACCAAAGCATTCACAGCAGTCCAAATTTAAACTGACAAAAATGTAATATTATACTTTGCATCACTAATGAATTGTGGCATCCTACATTGTTTTTTTTTTTCTTGAAAAAGAAGAAGGAAAGCATTCACCGTCAATGAATTCGCAATAATACTCACAACAAAGCAATTTCCTAGCACAAAGATATCATTTCGTACGTAGAATTCATTCCCTAGACGTTTGCAATTTCCTTCCCCTTACAAACAGATTACTAATCATATACCAGAATTGGCATTTTAATCCATCCAATTACCTATCTGCATACACATACAAACATACAGAAACAGATTTCCAGTATGAATAAAGCTCATAACCTACTTGAATCAACAATAAGATAATTTGTCTTTCTCCGCAAGTCAACGTTGCCCACTCCAGCCAGCAAAAATCCAGTTACAGTGTCCTGCATGAATGAAAGGATCACCTCATCAGAACAGAAAGACAAATCGAGAATGCAAGAAGTGATTTCAATCAAAAGATTACAGAGCAAACATCATCCATACCTCATCAGCAATCATGGCAATAAGTGCTGAGCTCTTAGTGGGGATATGAGCTCTGCCAGCCATTTTAAGTTGATATGCACTAAACGAAGGAGGAACAAAAACGCTTTCAGGATTCAGGACAAATGCCATACTCAAAAAATTTATCTTTTCCAATCACCAATATTGAATTTTTCCAATTTTAGGGTCCAATTAACTAAGATCAAATCTTGCACTGAAATAACGATCACAAACATGTAAAGCATCAAACAAACAGAAGATGAAAACAAGTACCTTTAAAAATTGATGAAAGGCAACTCCGAACGCAGAGTTTCTCACCGTTTCGGCTTCAGATCAGATCTACACAAAGAGGGGAAGAGAGGCAGAATCACAGAGGGACCCGAATGAAAACAAAGAAAAGAACCTCCGGATCCGGGCCGGGTTGGTTATTGACTGGAGTGGATCCGACAGTTGATTGCCCAGTAAGCCCAGAATTACAAGGGCCACAACCAATTGCTATACATAAGTATAGGCCCATATTTTAATAATCAAATTTTTTTTTCTTTGACCTCACGAAGTGTTGGCATATCATTCAACCGAGGAGGAGGGGGAGGAGGGGGGTGTTTTTGTCACTTGCGAAAATTCTCAAACAAGAAATATGCTCGTGTAATTTATAGGTTTTGTATTGTATATATGCATTGCACCGGACAACTTGTCAGCAAATTTTATTTAATTTTGTTTCTTATAAAAAGAAAATGTATAAGTTTTGGCGTTGTTTTCTTTAAAAATATACTTGATTGTAGCAATGGTCTCTGAATTATGCTCTATTTTGTATTTTCTCCCCAAATTCAAGTGATAGTTGCTGTCCGATGCCGTCGTTCAATTAGGTCGCCTATCGGTTGACATTTGGGCTGCAACGGGGTTGATTTTATGCGGTTCACGTCAGGCCTATGCAATAATTTCTGGTGGATGCCAAATTTGGGCTCTTTGAGAAACCAGTTTGGGCTGAATTGAACGTGCGGGCTCCAATTGAATGCTAAGATGTTGTGCAATGGGAATTAGATCTGCAACTTCAAAATTCTATTAATGCATGCTAAACACACCCAACAAAAACAAATTATAAGGCATGAGGCATGAGCAGGGATTGCAAAGCCAGCTAATATACCGAGCAGTTTGCCGGAAAATCATACAGCTTGTCTTGAAGACTTTAGGAACATAGTTATAATTTCCATGTGGTCCATGCCGCTAGCTAGCCTAGCAACTTTTCTATTTGAAAAATAATAATAAAAAATTTAATTTTCTTTTGCATATGCCAGATCTGATTTTCCGTAGTACCACATTGCATAATTATGGTACTGTAATGTAAGGAGGAGTCTTCATAATTCTGAAACCTCGGATTCCTTTGCACTTAGCATCAGCAGCAGGAATGGTCATTAATTCATCATTTCATTTCTTCAAACCCGGTCTACTTTTTCTTCCAACCCAGTCTTAATTAATTAAAGAAAAAAGACATCCTGTAATGATCAGTAATGAGATAGCTAGCATAGCAGCATTAATTACCTTTTTAATTAAGATTAAGATTCATTTTCTTTTCTCCGCCTCTCTTTTGGGTTATGAATTATGATCAGAATAAAATAATCACATGAGAGTGGCAGTGGCACCAACCAAGAACCAACCACTAGGTCAAGCTCGTGATAGCTAGATGTTGTTCCGGCCATCCATGCAGGCTGCAGAACAAAGACTAGCTAGTGGTGCTGTCTATAATTGTTGAAACTTGAGATCACTTAATTTTATCCACCACCACCAGTGGGAATGGGAATGGGAATGGGAATGGGATGTATGCATCATGCATGGTTGGTGGTACTGTTTATAATTATTCATGATGCCAGCTTGCTTGCTCTCTCAATGCTCTCTCAGCTCAGTAGGTAAGATCGATCGATCTACAAAGTGTGCGTTGACCACATCTTCGGTGACCTAACTTAGATTAATTTCCTTAACCTCCTCCTCATGCTAATTCTATGCATGCAATCTGATTTCCTAAAACTGTTTCTTTATTTCCTGTTGGAAAGACAAGACTGAATTATATCAACGGGGTAACAGAGTTGTGTATAATTAAACATAATTAGTTAGGCATGAATCGTGATACCATGTGCCAAACTATGAGTAATGCAGGCAAGCACACACAACTATGAAATAATAGAGTACCTTAGCTAGACTATGCATTTTGTCATCCGCTTTTCTTTTTCTTCCCTTAATTATCATGGATTTATATGTATATAATAATGTAATTATAGAGTTATTAGCATTTCTATATAAGTAGATGAGGATCAACAACTAAACATGTTGTTTTTGTTTAGCTGTAGGTGTTCTCGCATAATACACGCATGCTCTCCTTTTGCTCCTTTGCTGATGCATAGTTATAGGCAAAGCGTACGTACTGCTTATATATATATATGCTACATGATTCCATTGATGTTCTTTGTTAGTACAATGGATACATCATAATTAACAACATAATTACGTGTATTTATAATTAGTTCAACCACTTGCTCTGGTGTGT